ACAAGTCATCATCCCAAATCCTTACTACAAGTCATGGACACACATTGTTACTACAAGTCATGGACACACATTGTTACTACAAGTCATCATCCCAAATCGTTACTACAAGTCATCATCCTAAATCGTTACTACAAGTCATGGACACACATTGTTACATTGTTACTACAAGTCATGGACATATGTTGTTACATTGATACTACAAGTCATCATCCCAAATCATTACTACAAGTCATCATCCCAAATCGTTACTACAAGTCATGAACACACATTGTTACATTGTTACTACAATTCATCATCCCAAATCCTTACTACACGTCATCATCCCAAATTGCATGGACACACATTGTTACTACAAGTCATGAACACACATTGCTACATTGTTACTACAAGTCATCATCCCAAATTGTTACTACAAGTCATGGACATACATTGTTCATTCTGCTCATAGTGACCACGGCAGATGTGTCTTTTGTACCACGTGGAGCCCAGGATGGGAAGTCACCAGAACTCTCCCATGTACAGGTTCCCAAGATTCAATATGAACTCAGAATATCACAGAGGTCAGGATACCAATTTTTTTTGAGACCTTGCGGGGTCTCCTCGGTGCTCACTAAGTTGTCTTAAAAAAGAGAGGACCCTGCGAGGTGCCGCAACATCGGCATCTGGACCTCTGTGACATCACCGCCATAAGTCTTGGTAATGCATACTTGGAGTTCTGGTGACTTCCTACCCCACTGATAGTACCGACACGCCGGACTCTGCGATTATCGCTGCAATTCATACATAGGAAGCAGCCATGACTGCGGTGAGCCAGGTCACAGACTGGGCATCATACAATCAAGTTGCATGCAGGAGCATCAAGGCATGTGATCAAGGTGCACTGGGGCAGATGGTTAAGTTGCATGGAGGCATACCAAGGCAGAGGGCGTTTTGCTCAGAGAATAAGTGCAGGAACTCCCCCCTTCTGAGTCACCCCTTGTTTCCGCTCCCCTTACACACCTCCGAGCACCTTCTCTTGGTTCCTACCCCTACCCACCTCCGAGCCCTGTCCCTTGGTTCCTACCCCTACCCACCTCCGAGCACCGTCCCTTGCCTACCGTCACCACCCCTTGGTTCCTACCCCTACCCACCTCCGAGCACCGTCCCTTGGTGCCTACCCCTACCCACCTCCGAGCACCGTCCCTTGGTGCCTACCCCTACCCACCTCCGAGCACCGTTCCTACCCCTACCCACCTCCGAGCACCGTCCTTGGTTCCTACCACTACCCACCTCCGAGCACCGTCCCTTGGTGCCTACCCCTACCCACCTCCGAGCACCGTCCCTTGGTGCCTACCCCTACCCACCTCCGAGCAGCGTCCCTTGGTGCCTACCCCTACCCACCTCCGAGCAGCGTCCCTTGGTGCCTACCCCCCTACCCACCTCCGAGCACCACCCCTTGGTTCCTACCCCTACCTATCTCCGAGCACCACCCCTTGGTTCCTACCCCTACCCACCTCCGAGCACCCCTTGGTGCCTACCCCTTGGGTTCCTACCCCTACCCACCTTCGAGCACCACCCCTTGGTTCCTACCCCTACCCACCTCCGAGCAACGTCCCTTGGTTCCTTACCCCTACCCACCTCCGAGCACCGTCCCTTGGTGCCTACCCCTACCCACCTCCGAGCACCGTCCCTGGTGCCTACCCCTACCACCGTCCCGTCCCTTGGTGCCTACCCCTACCCACCTCCGAGCACCGTCCCTTGGTGCCTACCCCTACCCACCTCCGAGCACCGTCCCTGGTGCCTACCCCTACCCACCTCCGAGCACCGTCCCTTGGTGCCTACCCCTACCCACCTCCGAGCACCGTCCCTTGGTGCCTACCCCTACCCCCTCCGAGCAACGTTCCTTGGTGCCTACCCCTACCCACCTCCGAGCAACGTTCCTTGGTGCCTACCCCTACCCACCTCCCCGTGCTGCTCCTTTTACAGAGCCAAGTACAATTTTGTATGGAATTTCTTAATGATTACAAGAAAAGCAGTAAAATAGATCCCCTGCAGCCAGCAACAATAGCCCCACTCCAGAAACAGTAGATTCTCTCAGCAACAATGGACCCCTGCAACAAAATACCACCCCAGCAATAACACACCCCCAGCAGCAACAACAGATCTTCCCTGAACAGTAGATGCCTTCCAGCAACAAGTGATCTTCAACAACTGTAGATCTATCTCCAACAACAATAGACCACCAAGCAAAAATAGATCCATCCAGTGACAATAGATCCCCCAGCAGCCAGCATCAATAGACCCTCTAGTACACCCCAGCACCCCTTGCCATTACATACATTCAGTGCTGGAGGCGCCAGAACTGTGTTCCCCCCACATTCCCCCTGAAAAAAAGCCCTGCCAAGGCATGGGATCAAGTTGCATGTAGGTACACTTAGGACCACTAAATTACGTTGCATGCAACCATACTGAGGCCCGTGATTAAGTTGCATGCAGCGATCATTCAAGGCATGTGATGTCGGTACACTTAGGACTACTATTAAGTTGAATGCAAGTTCCATGTAGACATGCCAAGGCTGTGGTCAAGTTCCATGTAGGTGCACCTAGACCCAATATTAAGTTGTATGCAGGTACATCAAAGCATGTGATTAAAGGTTGCATGTAGACATACCACGGCATGTGATCGAGTTTGCATATACTGCATATAGTAGGTGCACTTAGGACCCACTATTAAGTTGCATGGAGGCCCACAATCAAGTTCCATGTAGGCATGCCAGGCTGTGATCAGGTTCCATGTAGGTGCACCTAGGACCACTAGTAAGTTGCAGGCAGTGTGTCTTTAAGGGGTTGAATAATTGTGGCAATGAAGAAACCACATAAGAACCATTTACAGGCAGGTGCACTGTGGTGCACCTAGGACCACTAGTAAGTTGCAGGCAGGTGCACCATAGTCATGTTCCATGTAGGCATACCAAGGCTATGATCAGGTTCCATGTAGGTGCACTTAGGACCACTATTAAGTTGCATGCAGGCCTACGGTGGCCCATAGTAACGTTCCATGTAGACCTATCAAGGCATGTGATCGAGTTGCATATACTGCATATTGCTCATAGTAGGTGCACTTAGGACCACTATTAAGTTGCATGGAGGACCACAATCAAGTTCCATGTAGGCATGCCAACGCTGTGATCAGGTTCCATGTAGGTGCACCTAGGACCACTATTAAGTTGCAGGCAGGCGCACTGAGGCCCATAGTCATGTTCCATGTAGGCATACCAAAGCTGTGATATAATTCCATGTAGGTGCACCTAGGACTACTATTAAGTTGCACACAGGCACACCAAGGCCCACAAAAAAGGTGCATGCAGGCAAACCAAGGTTTGGGATGTGCATGCACTTAGGACCACTATTAAGTTGAATGCAGGCCTACGGTGGCCCACATTCAAGTTCCATGTAGACCTATCAAGGCATGTGATCGAGTCACATATACTGCATATTGCTCATAGTAGGTGCACCTAGGACCACTATTAAGTTGCATGGAGGCCCACAATCAAGTTCCATGTAGGCATACCAGGCTGTGATCAAGTTCCATGTAGACCTATCAAGGCATGTGATCGAGTCGCATATACTGCATATTGCTCATAGTAGGTGCACTTAGGACCACTATTAAGTTGCATGCAGGCACTCGGTGGCCCATAGTTACGTTCCGTGTAGGCATACCAAGGTATGTGATCGGATTCCATGTAGGTGCACCTACAGTAGGACCACTAGTAAGTTGCATGCAGGCACGCCAAGACCCAGAAATAAGTTGCATGCAGGCACGCCAAGGTTTGTGATGTGCATGCACTTAGGACCACTATTAAGTTGCATGGAGACCCACAATCAAGTTCCATGTAGGCATACCAGGCTGTGATTGGGTTCCATGTAGGTGCACTTAGGACCACTATTAAGTTGCACGCAGGCACACCTAGGACCACTATTAAGTTGCATGCAGGCACTTGGTGGCCCACAATCAACTTCCATGTAGGCATACCAGGCTGTGATCAAGTTCCATGTACATGCACTTAGGACCACTATTAAGGTGCACGCAGGCCCTCGGTGGCCCACAATCAAGTTCCATGTAGGCATACCAGGCTGTGATTGGGTTCCATGTAGGTGCACTTAGGACCACTATTAAGTTGCATGGAGGCCCACAATCGGGTTCCATGTAGGCAAACCAGGCTGTGATCAGGTTCCATGTACATGCACTTAGGACCACTATTAAGGTTGTACGCAGGCCCTCGGTGGCCCATAGTCCCGCTCCATATCAGCATCCCAAGGCATGCGATCAGGTGGCACGCGGGCCCTTGGTGGCCCATAGTCCCGCTCTATGTCGGCATCCCAAGGCATGCGGTCAGGTTGCATGCAGGCGCAGCGTAGTGGGGGCCCCGCAGTCTGCAGGCTCAGAACAAAGCCACGCACACACAGATGTTTAGCAGATGGGGAGAGCAATGTGCAGCCAAAGCAAACAGAAGGCGGGGAGGGAGGCGGCAGGGAGAGGGTTAATGGGCTGTGGGTGTCCGGGCCGCCTCAGGCAGTGTGCAGGCTCCTGCCTGTCCCCTCTGTGTGTACAGGGAAGGGGGGGTTGGTTGTAGAATATGAATGAGACTGCCCTCCTTTCTTTGCCTTGTGCCTGGGGGGATGTATTCCTCTCCCCATACCCCCTCCCAGTGCTGTCGGGCGTGTGCCAAGGATTTGGGGCGTGCAGCGAGCCCCCTCGCCCACTGCCAGAACCAGCTCCTTCATGTCATGTTCCAGCTCGCCTACCGCCTTGAACGAAACCGCGCGGAGCGCCTGGCGGGGAGCGTAGGCGTGCGGGCTCCTAATGCAGCAGACGATGCAAGGAGGGAATATTGTGACACCTAGACGGATGTATAGATTCATTGTACGTGTGTGTGATTATTGTACCGGTCTGGAGAATTCTCACGTCTTTTCCTTTCTCTTCCCCGCAGTGTATGAGGGAATCCGCTTCTGCCGCACGAATGGAGTGCATGTTCCGCGTCCTGCATGACCTGAAACGCTCCGCGCCTCCCCCGTCTCCTCCCGCTGCGGAGTCGGCTCCCCCCCCCACCCGCAGGCCGGTGAAACGTGACATCCGCTCTTCCCACCGCACCTCCGACCTGTCCGAGGCGGACTCCGCCTGCTGCACGGATCTACCCAACGACGTGTCGCCGGCGAGCTGCGCTCAGCGCGGCCTGGAATGGGACTCTGGCTACTCGGAGGTTTCGGGGAGCTCCCTGCGAGGGGAGGAAGAGGAGGAGGACGTCGAAGAGGAAGAACAGAGGCCGGCTCCACCCGTGCTGCGCAGACACAACGTGCCGCCATGTTCACGTTTGGCTTCGGGGGGATTGCTGCGTAACAGACAAGGGAGAGTGCGCCCCAAATCCACGTCAGACGTTTGCCTGGAACAATGGGGGGGCATCGGAATGGCGGGGGGCATCGGCTCCCAGGACTGGACGGGCTGCCTGCTGTCCCAGAGCCGCAGCCGCCAACCGTTGGTTCTCGGGGACAATAGTTTCGCCGATCTGGTCAAGCAGTGGATGGACCTTCCGGAAAACGGCGAGGAGGAGGACCGGCGGACTCGGTGGCTGAATAAGCCCCACGGCTTCCTCATCAGCCTGTCTGGGAACGTCAAGAAACGCCTGGGCAACATGTCGCGGACTCGCGGGCGGCCGGAGCAAGAGGCCGCCAAACGCCTCTCCTGCCCTCAGCTGGGCTGCCGCCCGCTCTCGCCCTTCTACCACCAATCCCTCTCCAACATCTCAGAGGCCTCGACGGGAATGCTGCACTGCCGCAGCCGGCAGCCAATCATATGCAGCGACGGTTCTGGCTTTTTTTGAGACGGACGCACGCACGCTGTGTATATACTGTAGATAGATGTACAGATTTTATATTATTGTATTTTTATAATTATTTATTATTTTTATTTTTTTTTATTTTACAATAAACCAGCCTTTTATTTTCAGAACGCCGTGTGTGCTCCTTGTATGCCGCGTCCCCTGCGGACGGGGGACAATGACAGAAGACGGCGGTGATCTAATTAATGAGGGTCCCAGCAGGAATGTTCATCCCTTGTCAGTACACAACCCCCCCCCCCCCATCTCCCTCTTGTCATGTAAATGTGGAGCTGGGCTGGAGACACACGCTCCTACATATGTTAACGGTGCACACGGGGCTCCCAGATGGTGTCTGCTGAGGACATTCCCCACATGGGAGAAAAATAGATTTTAAAAATATTCTTCCCAAATATATTGACATATACTTGAAATACTACAATTTTGGCCGTATTCCATATATTTCAAAATATACTTCAATAAATATATATATATATATATATATACACAGTATTTTTTTTTTGTACTTCTGAAGCAGATTTAACAAAATGCTTTCAGGGAAAAACCTTATTTTTTTTATATATATATATACGCATACTGCATGTTGAAATGTGTTTTTATTACAAAATATATGAAAAATATTTTTAAAAATACATTTCAAATATACAGTGGGGATCGAAAGTTTGGGCACCCCAGCTAAAAATTTGTATTAATGTGCATAAAGAAGCCAAGGAAAGATGGAAAAATCTCCAAAAGGCATCAAATTACAGATTAGACATTCTTATAATATGTCAACAAAAAGTTAGATTTTATTTCCATCATTTACACTTTCAAAATAACAGAAAACAAAAAAATGGCGTCTGCAAAAGTTTGGGCACCCTGCAGAGTTAATATCTTGTACTGCCCCCTTTGGCAAGTATCACAGCTTGTAAACGCTTTTTGTAGCCAGCCAAGAGTCTTTCAATTCTTGTTTGAGGTATCTTTGCCCATTCTTCCTTACAAAAGTCTTCCAGTTCTTTGAGATTTCTGGGCTGTCTGTCACGCACGGCTCTTTTAAGGTCTATCAATAGATTTTCAATTATGTTGAGGTCAGGAGATTGTGAAGGCCATGGCAAAACCTTCAGTTTACGCCTCTTGATGTAATCCCCCGTGGATTTCGAGGTGTGTTTAGGATAATTATCCATTTGTAGAAGCCATCCTCTCTTTAACTTCAGCTTTTTCACAGATGGCATCAAGTTACCATCCAAAATTTGCTGAAATTTTATTGAATCCATTTTTCCTTCTACTCGTGAGATGTTCCCTGTGCCACTGGCTGCAACACAACCCCAAAGCATGATTGATCCAACCCCATGCTTAACAGTTGGACAGAGGTTCTTCTCATTAAATTCTGTGCCCCTTCTTCTCCAAACGTACCTTTGCTCATTCCGGCCAAAAAGTTAAATTTTAACCTCATCGGTCCACAGAACTTGTTTCCAAAATGCATCAGGCTTGTCTATATGTTCGTTTGCAAAGTTCAAACGATGATTTTTGTGGTGAGGACGTAGAAGAGGTTTTCTTCTGATGACTCTTCCATGAAGACCATATTTGTACAAGTATCTCTTTATAGTGGAATAGTGTACCACAACTCCAGTGTCTGCCAGATCTTTCTGGAGGGATCGTGCAGTCAAACGTGGGTTTTGAATTGTTTTTCTCACAATCCTGTGAGCTGTTCTGTCTGATATTTTTCTTGGTCTTCCAGATCTTGCTTTAACTTCCACTGTTCCTGATGACTGCCATTTCTTAATTACATTCCGAACATAGGATATTGACATCTGAAAACGCTTTGCTATCTTCTTATAGCCTTCTCCAGCTTTGTGAGCGTCAACTATTTTCAGTTTCAGTTTTCTAGACAACTGCTTAGAAGAACCCATGGTGCTGATTGTTGGGGCAAGGTCAGATGAGTCTGGGCATTTAAAACCTTTGAGATTGACATCACCTGGTCTTCCCAGACGATGATTGAGAACAATCCATGACACTGGCAGGTCTCAGCTTGGCAAAGGGGGCAGTGCAGGCTATAAATTCTGCAGGGTGCCCAAACTTTTGCAGACGCCATTTTTTTGTTTTCTGTTATTTTGAAAGTGTAAATGATGGAAATAAAATCTAACTTTTGTTGACATATTATAAGAATGTCTAATCGGTAATTTGATGCCTTTTGGAGATTTTTCCATCTTTCCTTGGCTTCTTTATGCACATTAATACAAATTTTTGGCTGGGGTGCCCAAACTTTCGATCCCCACTGTACTGTATATATATATTTTTTTTAAATATATCTATTATATAAAAATGCATTCTTTTGATTTTTTTTAACATAAAAAAGTAATTTTATATTTTTACATACCGGTATATTTGTAAATGCATTCCAAAAATGTAGATATTTCTTTTTAAAGACATACAGTATATTTGAAATGTATTTTTAAAAATATTTTTCATATATTTTGTAATAAAAACATTTCAACATGCAGTATGTGTAATATATATATATATATATATATATATATATATATATACACACACATATACACACACACACACACATATATATATATATATATATATATATATATATATATATATATATATATATATATAATGTATGTGTGTATGTATATATATGTGTGTGTATATATATATATATATATAATATATATATATATATATTACACATACTGCATGTTGAAATGTTTTTATTACAAAATATATTTTTAAAAATACATTTCAAATATACTGTATGTCTTTAAAAATATCTACATTTTTGGAATGCATTTACAAATATATGTAAAAATATAAAATTACTTTTTTATGTTAAAAAAAATCTGAAGAATATATTTTTATATAATAGATATATGTAAAAAAAAAATATATATACAGTATATTTGAAATGTATTTTTAAAAATATTTTTCATATATTTTGTAATAAAAACGCATTTCAACATGCAGTATGTGTGTGTGTATATATGTATGTGTGTGTATATATGTATGTGTGTGTATATGTGTATGTATGTATATGTATATGTGTGTGTGTGTATATATATGTATATATATATATATATTATATATATATATACACTTTGTGTTGAAATGTGTTTTTATTACAAAATATCTGAAACATATTTTTAAAAATACATTTCAAATATACTGTATGTCTTTAAAAATATTTCCATTTCCATTTCTATATCTATCTGTCTATGTACATATATATATATAATATATTTATTAAAATATATTGAATATGGCCAAAATTGTATATGTCAATATATTTGGGAAGAATATTTTAAAAATATATTTAAAATATATATATTTTTTCCACATGGTTCAGCTCCACTAATAAGCATTTCACAGGAGCTGCATCTTCCCTGATATGTGATAATTGTGTGGCGTCACCTCCTCGGGGGGCCGCAGTTGGGGATGATTATTCCTCCGATTATAAAATGGTAGGGTTGGGTGGACTTGTCCCGGGTCACTCATCAATGCAGAAAGTTTGGCGTTTAAGGGCTCATTCAGACGTTGACAAGGACGGCTGCTCCTCTGAAAAGCAATCCATGCCCAGATCACTTTTCAGAGATGTTTGACAGGCAGTGTGTGGAGGTGATCTGTTGCCTCCTCACCACCTGATTTAACCCTGTACATGCTACACCACAGAGCCGCAATCACAGGCAATGCACACAATCGCAGGGCGGTCCCCGTAAACCTACATTTGGTTATATTTATGTGTCAGTAAAACCAAGCAGTTGAGCCGCGGTTTTACTATCCCTGCCTGAACAGTGACACGCATGATTTATCAGCAAAATAAAGCACGGAGATATGGATGGAGGAGGGAGTTTGAATATTAAAAATGAATTACAGTGGATATAAAAAGTCTACACGCCCCCCGGGTAAAATGTCAGGTTTCTGTGATATAAAAAAAAAATGAGACAAAGATAAATCATTTCAGAACTTTTTTCACCTTTAGCTCGAGCTCACACTGATGTGGTCTGAAATTCGCAGCGTTGTCAGTGCGAATTCCGCATCACAGTCGCACCCTGTTCATGCGAACCGCTGCGGGTGTGTATTAAGTTAACGATTCCCCCAAAAGTGGTCCGCAAAATGCAGTGCGATGTGTAGAATCGGATCACATAGGTATGAATACCCATGCGATCCGATTCTAGTGCGGACCCAAAAAAAGGGTCCTGCACCTGGCAGTGCAGGAGCGGGTTGCCGTTCATAAACGGCACCCGCCATTTAGGACTGTGTGCACTCCCTGGGAGCACGTGGCATCACAATCCGGTGCCCACTGTGTGAGGTCCCGATCATGTGATCACTGATTGGCCAATCAGTGATCACATGCAGAGTAGTAAGCAAGATGTCACTTCTGACATCATTGCTTACTACGTGTGAAATCTGTGAATGATCACAGAGATCACATGGTACAGAGCTATTCACAACAGCCTTGTACTATGTGACAAGCTGTGACCAATCACAGCTCTCACAGTATTTCTCAATGGCTGCAAGAATGCAGCCAGAGAGAAGGAGAAATGATTGATGTTACAGCCTTTATGGGTGTAAAAGCAATCAGTGTAAAAAAAAAAAAAAAAAAAAAATCTTTATTACCCCCCACAAGTTGTGCAGTGTCACTATGGTGACACTGTACTGCTAGGGTGACAGTATGTTAAAAGAAAACATAAATAACAATATAAAAAAATAAAAAAAATGTAAAAAAAATTTTTGGTTATAAACTCATTTGGGTTATTTTTTTTTTACTAAAAAGATTAATTGAATAAATTGTGGCCAAGATTTATGAAGAAAGATTATTTATTTGCAAAATGTTATAAGAAAAACACTTTTTTTCAAAGTAAAAGTGGGGGGAAAGTGTCCGGACTGGAAGGGGGGTGAAAGTGTCCGGACTGGAAGGGGGGGAAAGTGTCCGGACTGGAAGGGGGGTGAAAGTGTCCGGACTGGAAGGGGGGGAAAGTGTCCGGACTGGAAGGGGG